CGTTTTGTTGTAAATACAAACTTTCATTACCATATACTTACAAATTGAAGGTTTGTAACCGTTTTATACTAAGTACAAAGGTTTGTTACCGTTAACTACCCGAGATTTTATCAAATCTTATTTTATTCTCCCAAAAGCCGAGAATGTGTATATATATAAAAATACATAATATCTAAAACGATATTTTGAGTTTGGTTTTGGGACCAGATGTCCGAACCGAGCTAATTGGTTCTTCATCAAGAAGTTACGGCTAAATGGCTAATGACAGAAACTTGAGACGAGTTTGTAACTTTGTACATGGTTAGACAGGCAAAATGCCCTCGTAAGTGTCACCTAATATTCATATGCCAACTAGCTTATAACCCGGCCCGTTGGCCGGAATGTTTATATTTGATTTTTTTATACTTTTTATGTTACGTTAAAGTCTATCAACCCGTTTAATTTTATTGACAATCTTTCAATTGAGATGAAACATAAATAAAGAATATATAGGTCGAACATTCAGAGAAATATCATCATCATTTGAGAAAATAAAATATAAAATGTATAAAACATCTCATTTTCATAATGATAATTAAGCCCAGTTAATATGTTATTAGTTAGTTGATTGTTAAGACAGATAGAGTATAAAAGCTCACTGGAATTCCCACACAACCCATAGATAGTTTGAAACTGAATCTAAAACCTCACAATCCTACGTAAATGGTTCAATGCTCTCATTTTGGGGGCAATATGCCACTAATAAAAAAGAAATGGAGGGTTGTAGGTTCAAGTCAACTATATACTAACAACTCAGCTAAGAGAGGACCATCAAAACTTGAGAGCAAACGACAAAATTGGATTACCTCCAATATACTAATAGACTCGATCAAAGTAATATGACGCAAAATTAGATATTCCTTATCTATCAGTTCCAGCAGGCTGAATAAAGAATCGACCTACTTCATTAAATCAATCAATAATTACTCGTTTTAAGATAGAAATAGGTTGTGGTAGTTGCAAAAACCATAAACCTAATGATCCAATAGCCACCACTCTCCATTGAAAGACCAAATTTTTATCTACTCTATCTTCAATCTCAAGAAGCATATGTTTCAACCAAACATTCACTTTCTAATCCTCCTTCCGCAACTCCATTTCTGCTACTTTGATGGACCTTCTCTCTGCGGCCCTCAATTTCTCTTCCAATTGGGGTTCTTGTCAACTCGCTCTTCAACTCCTCAATCCCCTTCCTGTGTTTTGCCAACTCATCTTCCTCAGGGGCAGTTCTAATAAGTTCGCTAAAACCAAAACTCATCTCCAATTCCATAAATATGCTCATCTCCCCCCTTGCATGCCTTCACCTGCTTCAGCACACTTCCATGTCCTTCAATATCCTCTCCATTTTCATTAATATCCTCATCATCTCTCACTTCTCTCTCTTCAACTGCTCCAGTTTTGCTTCCGCGTCTTTCAACACCCTCCTCAATTCGATCACTACCCTCAGTAACTCCCTCTTCTCTGCCTTAACCTGCTATAGTTGAATTTTTCTTCCCCCCACCATTCTCATTCTCAAACTCAATCCTAACTCTTCTACTCCAAGTTCAACACCCCAAACTCCTAGAATGTTGCATGAAAGCTCAATTTCTAACTAATTCTAAAACAATATCAAAATTTGATTAGTGAGTTGGACCATAAGAATAAAAATTAATGAGGAAAATTATGGTTGCGGAGAACATTAGTTATCACAAAATCAAATATGAGTGAAAATATTGTAATTGAAAAGAAACCTTTTTTCTTAATTTTGATCTTATTTTATTATTTCAATAGCTAAGCAAAGAACAAAAATAAAGTATCAGAAACAAACAACAAAAAAGTAGACAGGGCTCTAGGAAAGTACAACTGCCCTGTTCTACACAAACATCTCTTTTGCTTACAAACAAATATAGTACCCAAACCATCGTTCAAATTCATTTTCTAAATTTTATAAAAATCATTCATAAACAACCAACTTAGATAAATCGGGAAGGAAATAATAGCCTACCAGTTCAAATCGATTAACCTTATATGAAGATAGAAACTCATTGAAGTTGAAACCTAATAATAGAAAGAGGAGAAATGACGCAGGAGATCCCCCGAGCTTTAAACATCGTATCAGGCAATAAGATCAACAGAAATAGATATTCTGCATGTTGTGCTCATGAGACAACGTGAAATAAAAGTCGTTTTGTTATTAATCAGAAAGATAAAACCATGAGACATAGAGAAGAAATGAATGAATTACATGTGCTAAGCGATTAACCTTGGCCGGAAACCGAAAACCTATTAAAGGTCAATGCCTGGTATAGGAAGATGAGTAAAGGCTAAAGGTATAACTGATCAAACATTGCCTTCAGCAATAGAAGCAACAAAATAGTTCTTCTGATAGTACATCGAGGAGAGACAGAACCATTGGGTGATGCCAATGCAGAGGAATCGAGCGAGATAATCAAGGCCAGGCCATAACTACTTGATTGAACTCCATTCTATTCGCCATAGATTGATATGAGAGTTGAAATCTTCTACTTGCCCAGCCTAAATTCCCAAGAATAAAACTGCAGTGCCAAGAGATACCCGAATGTTGATTTTCAAATGCTCCTTATACTGGGAAGTGAAAGCACGCAAACTATTGCACGATGGAGGGAATTTCGGTGAAAATTAGAAAGAGATAAGAACAAAGATAAAAAGGCACAAAAATTAAATTTATATTGAAAAATGCAAGGACACAACACGTAATAAAGGAAATAGTTTCTTCCATGTTAGCCAATTACCAATATACCTTTAGAGAAACATTAAGGAGAGAGCATGAATTCTAAAAATTGATAAAATTAAATGAAACTCTATTATGAAAATTGAAGTATTAAGCACCATGAAAATACATATGGTAGACTTAGTGCCCTTGTTAATCATGATGAAAAAGTTCTCTGCTTTTCACAGTTTCAATACATGTATGTTTTGTATTAAAAAAGAAACAACAAACACACTTAGTATAATTGGTTATGACTGCTATCTTTGTTTGAAGAGACCCAGGTTCGAGTCTTGATATTGATATTTTTTATGAAATAAATAATTAATTGTAAAGACAAAAATATCCTTCCTACTTTCACTCTCATTGGAGGAAATTTGAAATGGAGAAAAGTTTACAAAACTCTACTATATATTAATGGAGGATGGGTAAGACCGTATCGTTGATAGATTTTAGTTTTTAGACCTCTTATGGAAGGTTATCAGTCTAGATTGATGTTTCTATCATTCTATTTGAGCATTAGACAAAAGATTCTCGATAATTATCATAATTCTTAAAATATCAGTCAATCCTTATAAAGGATTCTCTATGTTACTCTATATGCTATATCACTAACCTAAAATTCTCATACTATAATTTTGATATATTTAACTTAGCAATTTCGGGTCATTAAAATATAAACCACCATAACCATGTATTTTCATGCCTCAACACTTAGTTTTTTCCCAAGATTGTTAGTTCAGGTTTCCCTCTAACGTGGTATGGGCGTATGACTATACGATTATTAGGTCCTTCAACAATAAATTTTTTGACGGAAAACATACTCTTTTAATTATTGGGAAAGGATAAAATAAGCTATCAATGGGAATGCCTCTAGTGGCCTCTAGTAAAATGACTAGCGTGGGTCCCGGCCAGTGGGCCGGAGAAAGGTGATGTATGAAATTTGATAATGTAATGGGTTGTAGAGTTTATTGTTGTATAGTTTTTTTTTTGGAAACTCGTGATAAAAATAGTGAATTTTAGCAGGAAAAAGACATGAATGATGCAATAAATAAAAAATCGGCCTTATGAACCAAAATCAAGTTCATGTTACCTTGTGAAACAATATTGTTTTTGGTAATATGATGAGGTAGAGTAAGTTTTATAGAAACCAAATTCCAGAAAATCGAATAAAAAATCGCATATCCCGTCGGTTTTCGGGAAATGAGCATCTCACAATCGTTGCTAGCTTTTACTCGGCCCGTTGGTCGATTAATTTGCTTTATAAAACTTTCATCTTGTCGTCATTGTGCTTTCTGATTTTTGTTAGGACATGATAAAATCTAAGGAAATCAAGAACGAACAACACGATTTGGGATAGGAACCGTCGTTGTCGTATCCCTAGAAAATGGTGGTAAACACAGACTCGCCTACCAAACTGGTTTGGATTGAGATTTTTATCGGGTATCAGGGAACCATGTGATTATAAATTAGAATTGATCAAAACGGGCCAAAACTTGAAATTCAGCATATTGGACCGACCCATGCCAAATTCTAATTATTCTTTACTTTTAAACTTTCTATTTGAAAATAAAAAATAGTGAAAGAAAAGAGATGACTGCAATTCGCCATTTGCACATCACTTATTCGGGAATAAAACCATAAAAATTCAAAAGGAACTGAAAATATTTAGGATCGTTTTAATGTTTAAAATAACCAAATAGATCATTCTGTTTAGTTTTTTACTAACAAATACCAAATAATTCCCTATAAAATACACTATAATTTGATCATTATAATATCAAATAATTATATAATATATATTTGAAATGATAAAAATTGGACTAATTGGGTTGGTCGAGGTTGAACCATTGAATAACTTTAAAATACATTATATTTTAGCCACTAAGATATAAAATAATAGCATAATATATATTATGCCAGACCAAATAACTTGTTTTAGAATGACAAACCAATGATGTTCATTTGTTTTACTTGATGGCCAAATACCGTGTAGGTCAGGCCCATTCAACTCTTTTATTTTATGGTTAGCGGTTAGCCCATTAGATACCATGCATTAGTTTATTGTTAAATTTTTTATTTTTAGCAATAAAAATGAGTATTGTTTTTGCCTTTCCATATATATTATATCACCAAGGAGAAATAAAATGGCTTAAAGAAAAAAAATTGACACTCCTTGGCCTGTATAAATCCGCATGTATACGGTAAGTTGGCCCGTTCCACAGAGGAAAGAGAAAAAAATTGATACTCTTTATTCTACCCTTCCTACAAACGCTCATGGAGCAGGGAACTTGAAATGGGGGAAGAGTTTTTTCCGTCCTGCTATTATATGTTTTTAATTTAAAAAGATACAACAAATGTACTTAGTGTGATTGGTTATGATCCTTGCTTTTTTTTAAAATGGTCATGGTTCGAATCCTAGTACATGTCTTTTTAATGAATAAAAAAAAGTAATTGTGAAGACCAAAATGTCCTTCCTACTTTCACTCTCGTTGCAGGAAATTTGAAATGGGGCTCCCGTTTTTCCCTTCGGTGTATTATATTATGTGTAGAAGTGGGAATTCTTGTCCTCTTCTGTCAACCGAAATTATGCTTCCTAAAAACGGTTTGAGTTCTCATTACAATCCCTTAACTCAAACTGCAAAAGAAAAACAGCAGCTGCCTGCAATAGAAGAAACAACTAAAACGAAAGCGGAAACCAAGCCAAGCCAAGCCCCATTCTACTAAAACGATTTCTCTGTTTGTCCTTCGTCTGCTCCTTTGGTTGTTGCCGTTGTTCCAATCAGTAAGCCTCTTGCTCTCCCTGAAAGACAGGACCCAGAAATACTTAACATGAAGCAAAACGAAAAAAAAAGAAGTTAGAAGTTCGAGCAGGCGTTGTTGAATAACATGAGAAGCTTTGCTTTACTTTCTTGTTGGTAACAAAGTGAACGAACTTGCTCTTGCCCTTGGCGCCACTGCCCTTGTTAGTGAGATGTTTCCTGATGTGGGCCCTCACGAACCGCTCATACAAGAAAGCTGCCCCTTTGAACTGCGGCAGAACCAGCCACGCCGCCAGCACCAGCTTCGCCGTGTACCATATTGGAACCCTAAGCGACAACAAACGGGAAACAAAGCACGGATCAGAATCAGATGTGGAAGAATATTTACAATTGATCCATGATTCTTGAAGACGAATTGTACCACTCGAGAACGGATTGAAGCAGCATCTCGGAGAGGGTTAGGAAGGAATAGATGATCCAATAAGCAAGCCACTGCTCATCGTCCTCCTTACCAGGGCTCTCTATCGCCATCACTGACGCATACCTAACAAATTAGTTCCCCATACCCACAAGTCATTTTTCAATCGAAACGGTTATAAACGTGCTGCTACGGATCGGGAAATCGCCAGAATCAATAAAGCAAGAATGCGCAAACGAGAATCGAAAAACACAGACACACGATTTACGTGGTTCACTAACATGATGTGTGTTAGCTAGTCCACGGGCGAGAGAGAGCGAGTTTCACTATATCGAGGAGATTACAGATTACAGAGGAGTATGAGAAATATTTATCCAATATGACAAAGGAAACAGTTACAGACCAGACCCAGAACCCGACTCGTTAATCGGGCAGCGAGATTCCCGACTACCAGTGAATAGTCCGATTCAAGTCACATCAACATAAACCCATCTTTGACACAATTTTTAAAAGGACAGAATTAACAGAGTTGACCAGCTAGGGCAGGGTACTCCCAAACTTACAGAGGGTAAAGCAGCATCGTAACCGGCCTGCAACGAAAGGGATAAAAAGATTGGAGGAAGCATCGGATCAATATACAGGCGGATCAAAACCCAGAAACTATCCAAGGGGGGATAAAAGATGTGGACTTTAATTACCCAGCAACCGCGTGAACGTGGGTGAGGAAAGTCCAGAAACGACTCATCTCTTGAATTCTCGAAGCAGGCTACAGACAAGGAGAATTGGAAGAACAAGGAAAAGCTTATGTGGGTTTTCAAGGTAGGAGGAGAGTAGAGCGAAGGAGTGAAAAGTTGCTGAAAATCTCGAGAGTTGGGTGTATGCAGCGAGATGGAAATGAACCCTGTTTTTATACAAGAGAAAGAACAACTACAGAGAGACGAGGGCACGTGGCGGAAGCTGAGCTGCAGAGAGTAGTATCATATTCTGGCTTCAGTTGGTGGAACCGTCCAGATTGGGTTCAAATTCTCTTTTCGATGATTTCCGATCAAACAAAATGAGAACCCAAAACCCAAAAAGGAGACGAACTGAATTGAAGGCAATCGTCTGATCCTTCGTAGAGCGGCATCGTATCAATCTTAATAGTTTATATTGATTACTGAATGACACTCTGCTATGTGCAATTAATTGTCTTTTCTTAATTGAAATTTGGGTTTAATTCTTTATTTGGGATTTTGTCTTTTTCCTCGCTGTGGAGCCACGTGTTCACGTTATTTCATTGACAAGGACGGTGAAACTGAAACCCGTCTCGACACTCGACTTGTACCAGGGCGGTCATGTCGACACATAAGACAAACAACTTTCTGGCCCAACCGAAAGCCGAGTTACCTGTTTTTTTTATTATTATCAAACCTGATTGGGCCGTTGTCCAATTAAGCTCTTTTCTTAACAAATGCTACGTGGACTTTCAAGCCCAAGCTTGAGCCCGAACTAGTACAATTTTCAACTCATAACTTCACTAATCAATCCCAAAAATCTACCCAAATCTCTCCCGGAAAAGCTTGGTTGCATTGCATTGCATCATACTATCATGTATACAATCATCCTCCAGTCTTGGTATGTTCATACAACCATGTTAAGTATGTTCATACCATCATGGTAAGCTTTTTCATACCATATGATAGTTGCATTGCATCCTACTATCATCATACTATCATGTATACAATCATCCTACAATCTTGGTATGTTCATACAACCATGGTAGTATGTTCATACCAACATGATAAGCTTTTTCATACCATATGATATGCTCTTATTTAATACCAGTCAATACCATATAGTATATACTGGTAAAAAATGAATCAATTTTTTTTTGTTCAAAAAATATATCAAAGTGGATATCATTTTGAAAAACACAATTAATCTAATCTAATTGTGCAAAAAAAATTTAAATTCCGACTTAAAACGAGTGAGAAATCGTCCGTTAAAGATTAAGAAAAAAAATTAAAGGCTTTATAGGAGAGAGAAGGGACGTTGATGTGGCGAATGATGATTGGGTTATGCATGGTTACTCACTATAAGATTATGCATAGGACCTGCTCCCTTGGGCTATCCTAAACCCATAGGCTAAAATAGCATTTTGCCTTTTTAGCCCCCAAAAATTTCCTTCAACCATGGGGCGAAAGAGGGGACTAAATGGCTATATTGGATTTTTTGGGGTAAAATGGCTCTACCTTGAGTGGAGGCAAAAGTGGATGACAAAAATGATGGGGACCAAATTCAGAAAAATTTCCTCCTTCTTTTTTTTTTTAATTTTTTTGGTTTATACTATTTGTTGTGTTCTATTGTTTTTACCTAACGAAGACTTTTTCGATTGAAATTTCGACGGTTCAAAGTCTATTTGAAGAGAAAAAAAAAACACTCAAACAAACTCAAATCTCAAACATACTCAAACAAACTCACACTTAAAAAAATCATTTCGTTGTTCAAATTCTTGAAAATTTTGATAGACAAAGTTCATTCTGGTGTAACTTTTGTCAATTTCAACGAAAAAAAGTATCTCGGAAATAACTCAAATTTTATCAGAATGTTCATATCGAATTATCATGAACAAATATATAAAATTTACATTAAAAAACATAAGTTTAACTATTACTAAGTTAGGATTACTAAATACGAAACAGAAGATTATAGCCCTCGGGTTGTAGTTGTTTATGTTTTTGAGAGGGCTAAAAGACCATTTTAGAATTTAGACCCCAATTTTTTGGCCCCGGGTTGTGGTTAGCCTTAGACCATCTAAATGGAGTGCCAAAGTGCTAAATTTGGCACTCAATAAAGTGTTTTCCCTCTAATGGAGTAGAGCCAAATGCCAAAGTGCTATATTTGTGATTTTTTTATTAGTTAGTTTATTGTACATTTCATTGATTTATTTATATAACTATGCAATTATTTTTATATAGTTAGTCATAATTAATTAAAATGAACATTTTGATGTATTTTTCTAATTTTGATATATTTTTTCCGATGATAAATATTTACAAGTGAAGAATGTGGTGATATTTGTAGAGAAAATTTGAAAAATATAGCTGCTGGGAAAAATTGGTGGCTGGTGGCACTGGCGGATACATGGACCGGGACACCCCTAAAATTTGGAAGAACGATTATCCAATACCCGGTAGTAGTTTTGTATGGAAAAACAATTATAATTGGTAATCCGGGACACTCTTAAAATTTGAAAGAAATGATTATCCTACTCTTGATAGTAGTTTGTGTAAGATTAAAAAAAACATACATAGTAGTTTGTGTTATTCAAACCTAGGACACTACAATTATAAAACATATTCTGTAGGTTTACAACTCATTTTTTGTTCTAATTAAACACTATGAAATAGTAAAAACATTATTCCTTATCCCCAACTATTTTCAAAACCTAACAACTAACTAATTGTGGGCTATCCTTAATGTGAATTGATTTTATAGTTACACGACACGAGTTAAAAGAGTCTTTCAACTTTGAGTTACATAAAGAACAAGGTTAGAATTCGAATATGTGATAAGTTCGTGAATTATTGTCTAGTATGATATATAAATTTGTTAAGCAGTGAAGACGTCGAGTATATTTTATATTCTTTTTCAGAATATGAAAACACGTCGTGGTCTTTTGTTAATATTTGTATTAGTCATGTCTTTTCTTATATATGAATTATTTAATTTAATTATTAATTATTTATTTTTTAAAGAGCACACCCCTATAAAATTTTTTCGGATCCACCACTAGCTGGTGGAGAAGTTTTTAAAGGGGGACTAATCTGCAATTTGGTTATTAAAAAAAGGGAAAATACCATTAGGAAACCCGAACTAAGAAGAATGTGTCATTTGTGTCCTAAAGTATCCAATATGACATTTGTGTCCCAAACTATTTTTCCGTTAGAATTGACCGGCGTTGACCGTTAATTTTTAACAGAAAGTCTAGTCAGCGCCGAGGTGGCATCTGAAGTGAAATTTATAATTATTTTTCATATAAGAATAGAAAATGAAAAAATTACAAAAAGAAAAAACATAAACATAAACTAATTGATTTGAGGATTTACCCTTCCCTCTCCCGTCTCCCAACTTCTCCCGTCGATTTTAAATCGATTTGGGGATTTACCCTCATTGGCGGAGATGGCGGCCACTCTGGTATGGGCCGCAAACTCTGATGATGGTGGTGGTGGGCTTCGAGAGTAGGAGACGGAGTAGGCAGCGAGTAGGCGGCAGATGCAGCCGAGCATGTCGCGGGCTTCTGGGTTCTTGGTGGGGAGCTGGGCCACAATCATTCTAGAAGATCTGATATCGTCGTCGCTCGTTTTCCTCTTCCTTCTCCTCCTATCCTCTCTACAATCATTCGCCGCTTACTCCTCATTGTCGTCATCATCCTCCCCCCATCGATGTTCTTCCCGTCGCGGCTGACTCAGCTCACCGGTCTCATCATCCTCCCCCATCGACTTCTCTGCCGGGATCGCCTTGGCGAGCTTTGGGATCGAGCGGGAGTGAAGAAGGAGCAAGCTGCGGATTGGTCTGCGGGAGTGAAGAAGGAGCAAGCAAGCCTGTCAGGAGACCTTTTGTGTCCTCGCTAGGGATTTTGTTTCCTCTCTGGTTCAGTTAAATATCAAGTGAAAATTGGAAGCTGGGGTTTCATGCTTCCCTGTTCCGCCCACATGTTGAATAATGGTTGGGTGGATTTAGGTTTTGGAGAGGGAGAGCGACGACAAGTCATTCGAGGAGAGGGAGATGGGGAGACGAAGAGAACCGGAGTTATGAGAGAGGGTAGTTGCGGTGGCTGGGGTTAAAAAATAGAATATTTAATGAGCTTACGTGGCAGCTAACGTGGTGTATACGTGGCTGCCACATATGTGTCATGTAACCAACAGTCAACATTTTATGGTTGACCATTTGGTCAACTGTTATCTATAACGGTCAACGAAATTGTCAGGACGTAAATGACACACAACTATGATACATCAAGACATAAATGTCATATTGGATACTTTTATGACACAAATGACACATTCTTCATAGTTCGGGTTCCTAGTGGTATTAGCCCTAAAAAAAGGGGGAGGGGCGCGTCGAGAGAAGCACACGACTGCATGCCCCTTCCCTTCTGCGCGTTTTGCGCTTTTGCTCCCCTGCGAGTTTTCCTTGCGTATTAGCTTTTTTTGTCTGTTTGTGAGCCAAATTTGGCTCTCAAACTCCTAAAATTTCACGCTATCACTCTTTAGAACTCACCATTGCAGTCTAAAAGTGCCAAAAATTGGCACTTTAGCCCTCCCATTGTAGATGGTCTTAGGGTTTGGCGAATTCTAAATGCTTAAATGCCTATTTTGAGAAACTAAAGATGTTCGTACATAACTTAAATGCTTAAATGTAGATATTGACATGCTCAAACAATAACTCAAGTCGAAGCATGCATAATCAACACAATCATATATCAAGTAGTGCACATACACTTCACGTAAAGCAAATACTTAAACATGTAAGGCGTAGAATTTACCCCCTTTACACTCACCTATCAAGTGTCGATACTTAAATTCGTTGCACGCGGAGTCCCGTCTCATTGTAGGAATTTTCTTGAATTGGAGAGTTCTTGGGAAGTCTGGAACCAGTGGGTTGAGAATGCTTGAGAAATTTGTTGCCAATTGATCGAAAGTCTTGGGAATTGAGTCAAGAATTATCCTTCAATTCTTGTTTTCAGTTCCAGTATTTAGCTAGTGAAAATGGACGGCAGCTGCAGGTGCCTTTCAGTTTAGTTAGTTTTTCTTTGAGAATTCGAGCATTCGTTGGCAAGAAAGTAGAATTATGATTGAGAACTTTTAGGATGTAAATTTACAGTAGGAAATGCAACATGAGAATGGTTTGGTCCCATCCTGATGAAGTTTGTTGGACTGGTTTGCAATGTAAATGACCATCCACTCTATCGATCTTTTGGTTCTGCTTTTCCTTGCTCGATTCAGTTTGATGTTTTGCTAAATTGTGGGGCATGGAAGATGCTCAGTAATTCTTCACCGCTACTCATTAAAGAAAGCCTTTTCGTATTAAGTTCTTTGGTTTTCTTGTGAACAGGCTATGCAACAGCCGGATATGCTTTGTTTGTGGCAGTATATGCAGGCTTGGAGGTATGTGTTCATTCTCTTATTTAGGCCTTAATCAATTCAGTTTCATGCATCTAGTGAGATCTAGGCGAAGTTCTTCGTGGTCGTCATAGTTCATACTAGTAGCTACTGATAAGATAGATGCACGATACATGTGAGGATTTGGACACCAAATTTAGCATATCGCTATAATTCCATATAGATGTTTTGTGAAGTTCTGCATACTGAGAGCATGTTCACGTGGTATATGAATGACCCAAGTTATGATTTCCTGAAACTGATTTAAGATTGTGGTGCTAGATTCTTGCAATTCCGGCTGGTCTTCTTTTCGGACCTCTTGTTGGCATCATCATAGTCTCAATAAGTGGAACAGTAAGTCGGATTTATTTTGTCTGTATTGAAGTTCTATTGCCATGTCTATAGACTTTTGCACTCCCTTACAGTCTTTTGCATCCATGTCAGGTTGCAGCAAGTATTGTTTTTCTAATTGCTAGGTATTTTGCGCGCAAGAGAATCCTAGAACTTGTTGAAGGAAATAAGAAGTTTCTTGCAATCGACAAGGCAATTGGCGAAAATGGCTTCAGAGTAGTCACGCTTCTTCGATTGAGCCCTTTGCTCCCATTCTCCCTCGGAAATTACTTGTATGGATTGACATCAGTCAAGTTCGTGCCGTATGTTATGGGGAGGTATGCTGTTCTGCCACTCAATTCTAGTTCTTATGATAGCTAAACCATATAGATGGAAGAACTGAAACTCTTATGACTTTTCGGTTTTTATCCATCTTCAACTTGTGTAGTTTTGTCATAACTAAGTTAGATTCAACATCGAATGCAGCTGGCTCGGGATGCTTCCAGGCACATGGGCCTACGTGAGTGCTGGTGCATTTGGCCACGCTATAATTGTGAGTCTGCTATTTCCTTCTAACTTCTTTGTACAAAGCGGTATCGCAGCTTGCTAGAGAATTATGAACTTATTGGTAGACTGGTAGTAATCATTAGACGTGCCCTGAAGGCTTTTGTTTAACATGTGAGTTGCTCAACACTGATATTAGTGAAGTTTTACCTCTCAAATCAAAAACGTTTTCTTCATCTTAAGCTGTTAAGAAGGCATGTGGATTTGTGTCAATATAGCAGAATCACCGAAATGCTTGCCTTAAAAGGGTCATTCCCTATCTGCTATTCTGCTTGTTTTCTATAACACAGGTTTCTTTTGCCTATTTTCAGCAAGAAGAATCTGAGATTGGGTTGACTGGAGGAGGAAATTACGGTCAGCTATTGACACTTGGGCTGGGATTGCTTGCAACAGCATTTGCTGCAGCTTATGTAACACGGCTCGCCAAGGTGACCAATCCCTCCTCTCTCAGTGCTTAATCTGAATTCTGCAACGCTCGTGGCTTTCTATTAACCAGCCAATTATGTTGCAACCGTTAATAACTTCTTGTGTTTGATGCAGGATGCTGTGAAAGACATTGACGAATGACATTACACTGTCAAGAGTTGCTGCAGAGGAGATCGAGTAAGGAGGGTGATTGAAATTAGACTGTTAAAGAGTTGCTGCAGAAGATAGATGGGAAGTCCCTGAATATCCATGTAAAGATCTCATTTGTATAATTTTGGTTCCTTATAGCTTTCAGTGAAAGGAGTAGTTAAATGAACGGCCAATTTGTGTAAATGAGAGTTCACATTTGGTTCCATATCTCATAACCCTTTTCAGTGGGGAAACAGGAGGGTACTGACCCACAATCCCCAAGCACTGCGGAGATGGTACTTGACAGCCGGTAAGGCCATGTCTCCTCCGGCGAAACACTCAACATACCAACAGTGCTCGAGGCAAGGATAATAGGATGCTTGAAAACATGATATAATGTTGAAATGTTCGATGGATTTGCCCAGGTTTTTCACTTTTTCACCTTGCAAGAGAATTGAAATAAATGATATACAGGTTGCACTATTCCGAATTTCATCTGTGTAGGATCCAAATGGCATTTTTCATATGTACACTACGAAACCATCCAGGAGCTATATTGGCTGAAGTCCGGAAAAAGACTTTTAAATGACCCTTTCCTAATAGCCTCAACACACAGAAAATCATTTAGACTGTAGTTCCCTTCATTCCAAGCAGACTAAGATTAAGTGCGTGTTCTTGATCACATTTCCCCTCAAGTCATTCATCTACCGTCATCAACAATTCAACATCCAACACAAATTACAAATCGTGCATAAGCAATTCAACAATATACACACAAGAACTAAGAGCACTAGTTAAGCATTAGAAAGGTCTAATAAGCACTGCTCATAACCGTTCCCCCCTTTTTGCGAGAAGCTATCGTTTCATTGCGGCACTTCTTTTGGAAGGCGATCGAGTGAGTTCCTTGTTCAGTTGTTTCACTGTGACATTGCACAAGTAGGCGGTCTACGCTTTTTGCAGAAGAAGCTCCTAAACTTTTCAGGAATATCTTCCAAACTGCAAGTAAGAAACAAACCCTAACTCTCCTTAGTCCTTCCTTAACATAAAGGGAGATTTCAAACTCGATCAACAAAAGTTGCACTACAAACACAAATGGTTTCTGGAGGAGCAAATTAAGAAAACCATCCATTAATGAATTACCTCTCACTAGGCGGAGGTAATGGGGGCAGCCGACGGTAAGTCACCCCCTTCCCGTGCTTAAATCTATCGTCAGGAGGGTGATAGAGTGGGATAGGACTCTCAGGGTCACACTCTCCACACCCTTTCCGATGGTGAGAATAATCGTCTAGCAAAAGAACCACCATTAACAACATGTACATACAAATAGGATTAGAGTAATCCAACCCAATCGAGTCAAGTAAAAAGAGAACTAGTTCATCATGCATATATGCTATAATTAAACCACATAAGGTTGATTGATTGATAAAGAAAATATGCATATACTAGTTACCGGAATCTCCTGGTTCTAGGATGCAGAAAGAGACCAAGATAGGGTCAACATCAAAGGTTAATTCGGCAAAAACAAGATGGACAGTGCCATCTTTGTCCTTGGCTCTGAAGTTGACATGTACGTGCATGGGAACACATGGTGGTATCACCCGAAAGCTCATTACAGCTTCCACCAATGTCAGCTTAGCCTCCTGAAACATTTTTTTTGTGAGCGTACAAACCACCAACTAAACACGAGCAAGCGTGGATTTCTATTGATTGATTTCATACATGCATATAAATATATAATAATAGACATACATTCATGAACAAAGAAAATGCATGCGTACCGGATTGTCTCGATTGTAGGACTCTAGAGCCTTTTCAGCATAAAATTGGATCTGCTCTTCCTTACTGTTAAACCAATCTGCTGCGCTGTTACGACGTACCAAAATCACACTTTCTAGTTATTCATTCGCATCAGTATTGCATGCATATACATACATACATACATACATAAGTGGAGGGAGAAAGGAAAAGAATTAGACTCCTTACAGATACGGCTGCCCCATATTTTTCAATGGCTCCATACTAAATTCCCATGGCGGCTGATTCTCGCTCCCTGCAGCATTCTTGTTTGGCACGAATAGTCTCTTATCCATCTCCCGCACCAATCTAATTACATCTTGAGAGTTGGCAGCAACCATCTTTGGTGTTGTGAATATAGTTTTTGGCAGATGATTTTTGTACGCTATCAAATCACAAGCACCCTGTTCTTGCTATCACATGAACAAAACAAGATTGGTAAAAAGGTTACTACTACCTAGTTAACGAAAAGCTATAGCAGATTGGTAAAAAAAAGACAGCAAACGCAAGATAACAGTCTGCTGAAGTTAACAAAAGCCTGAGCAGATTGGACGGTGATAATCGGCTTTAATATATCGGATTCTTGGACTTTATGTGATTATCTCGTGGTATGTTATAGCCAATTGGTACTATTTTAGGGCTCACTAACCCGAGAATGGTTGAAAAACCATTACTACCTAGTGCCATGAGTTTGATGTGTTACAGGTGGAAAAAGCACGAAAAAGAAGCGAGTGCACGAACAATTGATTGGGCCCAAATCACCCCACCTCGGAAGAATTAATTTGGGCCTGGGATCTATTGATCTGGGCGGCCATTAATTGGAGGGAGGCAATTATTAAACAGGGGCCGGTTATTGTGTGGGAGGAGGAAATTCTCTTTGGGATTTATTATAATTGAGACGGGCTTGGAATTTTGGGCGGGGGGCGGAAGGCAATTATTGAAGGCGAAATTCTCCAGAAGAAAAGAGAAGGCAGCAGGGAGTTTGGGGAACGAAATACAAGTGGAAGAGAGGGATCTCTGGGAAACGGACGCGAATTTCTTGGTGAGAAAAAAAGGAAGCGGCGCAGCAAGGCAGTAGCACAGCAAAAGGCGACCAGTCGATTTTCAATCGGCGAATCAGTTTTCCAGGCTACCTGAGCTGAGTTCAACGAGAGCGATTAGTTGGTTGGATTTTCTAAACCTCATTAGTTGTTTCTTGTTGATTTAGAACATGATGAACAAAATCCTATCGATTTATCTTAATTTCATCATGAACTAAACCCCAATTTCTGGGGGAAACACCATAGGATGTAGCTATTTCTTGATTTGATAGATTGATTCATGATTCTTTTCTTCCATTCTCTATTGCATGAAATTACTTAATGCTTTGTGTTGACTGGCCATCAATACAACGAATCGTAGTTGATTAGGTTATTAGCGACAGTGAAACCCTATTAACCGAACATATTTCATGTGACATAGTAACTTATCGAAGCGACAGTGGATTAAATAAGGTGCTATGCGGTCTTAAATAGGATATCGATCTTCAAACTATATAGTTAATTCATTGAGCTACGACAGTAGGATTTGATTTAATTGTTTAGTACGTAGTAATGCCCGACAGGGATAGCTAGCACATTCGTGATATCCTGGCTGTAGAGGTATGGATTAAATTGATTGGAATATGTGAATTAATTTGGATAGGATAGGTAGTGAGTCCCGGTGTTTCTCTCAGAGCTTTCTCCCATTGATTTAAACCCGACACTTTAATTTGCTTGTTTTGTTTAATTATTTTGCTAGTAGTTAATAATATCATTAAACCATTACCACATATAGTTTACTCCATAGAATTGATAAATCATAAGGTTGTACCAGTCCCTGAGAGACGATACCCCGACTTTCTGGTTTACTACGAGATAGGATTAAGGCATACGCTTTTGCCCTATCAAGTTTTTGGCGCCGTTGCCGGGGACTCTTTTGGCTCGTGCTCCACAACAAGCTCCTGACTAATGCTGAGCGCAGTCGGCGCCATCTGGCTCAATCTGCATACCTTATTTTTGTTGATTTTTGTGAGTGAACTATTTTGATCTGGGTGTTAGTGTGCAGGTGAATTTCTCAGGTTAATCCTCCTCGTGCATGCCAAGGAGGACGACTGGCAATTTACTGCCACTAGATCCCGAGATCGAGAGGACCTGCCGACAGAACAGGAAGCAGGTCAAGTTAGGGAAGCAGCCTACCACATCAACAACTCCTAGGTCTTCCCTAACTCAGAATCGTCAACCGAGAAGGCAGGTGACACCACCTGTCATCCCTACACTACCTACACCACCGTCGCGCGTCATCGAGCCTGTCATCATGGCTGAACAGGATCATTCGATCAGGGCTCGTCTGAATCAGAGGACTGGAGCCCGAGCTTCATGTGTTGTCATTCCGGCTGAGGATACAAACATGGAGATTTCCCCAGCCTTCATCAATATGATCACTAATGGGTACACCTTCTCAGGGGCCAGCACCGAGGATCCTCATGAACATCTCCGCCGGTTTGCAAACATTTGTGACACAATGAAGAGCCCGGCTGTGTCTGATGATGCCATCCGTCTTCGGATGTTCTCATTTTCCCTGCTAGGGAATGCATCACACTGGTTCCAAAACCTAACACCCCGTTCCATCACAACATGGGGTCAGCTTGAGAAGACCTTTTTGGATAAGTACTTTCCTCCTGCCAAGGCTATGAAGAGGCAAGAGGAAATTGTCACTTTTAAACAAGCTGAAGACGAAAGTCTGACCGAGGCATGGGAGCGCTATAAGGAGCTTCTAATTAGATGCCCGAGCCACGGTCTTGAAGATTGGAATGTGATCTCCATCTTCTTCAACGGAATCAGAAGACAATTTCGAGATGCTCTGAATAGTGCTTCTCGAAATGGTTTCACAAGAATGGAAGCACCAGAAGCATATGAACTGTTGGAGAAGATATGCTCTGAAGATACTGAATGGGGTAGTGAGACCGGCATTCGAATGAGAGGAGGCTTGCATGAGATAGACAGAGTTGCAAGTTTAGAAGCAAAGATTGATGCTAAGCTGGATTCCAAGTTCGATGCACTCGAACGAAGGCTGGCTAAGATGGCTCTTGGTAGACAACAGGAGGTTGCTTTGTGCGAATTATGTGAAGGTGCTCATCATAGGGATCTATGTCCACTGGTAGCTGATCAGTTGGAAGATGTGCACTATATCAACAATCAACAAAATCAAGACCAGGGTGGTATATATTCAAATACCTACAACCCGCAATGGAGGAAGCATCCTAACTTTTCCTGGACAAACAACAACACAGCTGGTGCTCGCAACATTGCTCCTCCAGGCCTGCAGAAACAACAACCTCAACCAGAGAAGAAACCACAACTTGAAGAATTGCTTCTGGCTCACATGCAGAAAACCGACAATAATCTGAAGGGTCTTGATCAATTTTTCACTCAACAGCTAGCCATCAACAATAATATGCAATCATCTATGCTAGCTATGGAGAGGCAAATAGGCCAGATGGCTCAAACTTTGGCAGATATGCAAGGCAGGATTCCTGGGACATTACCAGCAAATACTGAGAGGAATCCGAAGGATGCCATGGTTGTAGCAGTGACATCGAGGAGTGGAAAGGCCTTGGAAGACCCTAGCAGCTCGAAAAAGGCACCAGAGGCAGAAGAGGAAGCACCGGGAGAAAGATCTTGTGCAAAAAATGAAGAATCAGCCTTGCACAGGCAAAATGAAAGCAGTTTGCCTGTGCAAAAGCATGCTGCCCGTGTACCTCAAAAAGTGGAAAAATTGAAGAATGAAGAGGTAAAGCCTTATGAACCTCCCGCACCATTCCCTCAAAGGTTAATGAAGCCCATGGAAGACCCAAACTTCAAGAAATTTGTGAATATCTTCAAGCAACTTCAAATCAACATACCCTTGGCGGAGGCACTTGAACAGATGCCTACATATGCTAAATTCTTAAGGGAGTTGCTGACAAAGAAGCGGAAATGGGCTGATCTAGAGAAGGTAACCCTTACTTCTGAATGTAGTGCTGTGATTCAGAATAAATTACCAGAAAAGAGGGATGATCCGGGCAGTTTCACCATTCCATGTGTCATTGGAGGTACAGAGTTCGATAAATCACTATGTGATCTAGGAGCATGCATTAATTTGATGCCATACTCAGTCTACAAGAAATTGGGATTGGGAGATGTTCTTAAGCCTACTCGGATCACTCTCCAATTGGCTGATCGATCAGTAAAAATTCCAAAAGGAGTGGTGGAGAATGTATTGGTGAAGGTGGGGAAGTTTATTCTCCCAACAGATTTTGTAATTCTGGAGATGGAAGATGATCGGGGAGTGCCTCTCATTCTTGGTAGACCTTTTCTAGCAACTGGAGATGCACTCATCGATGTTGGGAGAGGCAAGTTGACATTCCGAGTAGGTAAGGAGGAGGAAATTTTTAATGTCTTTCAAGTCGACCATAATCACGATGCATTTGATGACTTCGAAAGTGGAGCTCGAGAAAGGAAAAATTCCTCTTCCTGTGATAGTGGACCACCCAAAGAACTATCACATGTCCTAGCAGCTCAAAGTATGAAATCAAAGCAAGGGCAGAAATCCTTGCCAGGTCACCTCAAGTATAGATATTTGGGTAAGGATTTCAATCTTCCTGTTATTATTCCTTCTTCACTGACATTGAAACAGGAAGAGTACTTGCTTGAGGCGCTGCAGTACCACCTACGCCTCACTAAAGGGTCCAACATGCAAGATAAGAAGGTCATACCAAATTTTCGTACACCTGGCCCTGCAGAGGTGACTCATATGTTAGATGGAGGCTATGCGTTCTATCATTGCTCGGGAGGGTATGCTGGATACCTTTCCATACCCATTGGTTGAAAGCTCCATGAACGTCAGGCTGAGGACGTTAAACAAGCGCTTCTTGGGAGGCAACCCAAGGTAAGTTTTCTTTTCTTTATTTTTCTTTTTAGTTGTGTCAAACCCGTGCATGTTTAGAGTAGGAGTTGAACATTAGGGACAATGTTCAATCCTGAGTGTGGGGTGGTGAGTCTTAGTGTTGTTTGTCCCTGTTGCATGTGGTAAAAAAAATACAAAAAAAAAATCTGTCATTTGGCTATGCACAGCCAAACTACATGCAGTTTGCCTGTGTAAAAAGCATGCTGCCTGTGCAAAGCTAATGGCTAAAAAACACCTAAAAATCAGAAAAATTTAAAACAAAACCTTGTACTCTTGTGGTAACATGATGTAAATGACTGTGATGCGTGTGAAATGAGTTTGTGCTTGAAGGAAATCATCAAAATCACCCCACTAGTGTTGAATTGTATAGTTCTTCACAATGAGCTTGAATGTTTTGACTGACTTGATGTGCTTTGAATGAGCAAACTTTTTAGCAACATTCTCTTTGGTGAGGATAGTGTAATGACTTTTGGTGAAGTAGTTAGGTGGAGAACATTGACCATTCGACATGTTTGGATACCGTGCTTACTTGCATCAATTGTGAGCTTCTGATTTTGCAACGAGTCTCTGTTTTGATTGTTTTATGGTGGGGTGAACTGTATCTTCATAAAAGAAAACACTACCTGACAAGTAAAATATAAGAAAGTTGCCATAACAATTAAAGTGTGGGTATAAATGCCAAAATCGTGTGAGGCAATCACTCATTGCACATGGGGAGGAGGAAAGTTTCAATTGAGACTCGGTTCGCGACCGTACGATGTTGCTTATCAAGTACGATCCCCAGTTGAGTGAAGTGCCATTCGAGGATGCAATGACCCTCCACACGGACCGAGGAAAAGGAGTTGAAAGAAGCCCTTATGCGAGTGCTAAGAAGCAGAAATTGCTCTTGCTCGGTCACCGGTAGTAAGAAACAAATCCCACTTGTACTAAATATGACTTCTCGGCAAGCAAAAGCAGAAAGAGAGAAAGCATCTCCTTGTCATAAAAGGTAGTGATGTGCTTAAAGTAAAATCATGTTTGCGAAAGGCTTCCCCCATTAGTTTTTGAGACTCATGCTTTGTTAATTGCTTATGATTGGTGTGAGTAAGCCAGATTGTCCTCACGAGATATGCACCTCACTGATGTGGTTAGATTCTCCTAATAACTGTTGCACCATAAGTTGTTAATCACCCGCTACTGACGACCTGAATTGAGTGTTGCTATTTGAGTTTTTGATGGATTTGAGTCAGTCAATGATAATGGTTGCAAAGAACTTGAGTGTGGGGTGATAGGTATGACCATCAAAGCACAACTTGTCCGTTGAGAAAGAAACTACTGATTACAACAAGAGTACAAGCAATGCAGTCAAAAGCGCGATTCAACCTAGAAACGGTTGGGTGACCTAGAAGTGTACAATCGTAAGTTTTTAAGTTTTAATGCGTAGATTTTGACTACATTTGTAAGAAAAAACCACGATTCTACGTAGAAGCGTTTTGGTGACCTAAAAAGGTAAAAGCGTAAGATTTTAAGTTTTAAAGCGCGATTTTGACTGTATTGAGTACAAGGAACTTTTGTGTTTTCCTTTGAGTGTTTGATTAGTGAGTCTGTGGTGTGTCATTATGTGTTTGTGGTTTTTTGAGTCGTTGCTTAGGGACAAGCAACAATTGAGTGTGGGGTTGTGATAATCGGCTTTAATATATCGGATTCTTGGACTTTATGTGATTATCTCGTGGTATGTTATAGCCAATTGGTACTATTTTAGGGCTCACTAACCCGAGAATGGTTGAAAAACCATTACTGCCTAGTGACATGAGTTTGATGTGTTACAGGTGGAAAAAGCACGAAAAAGAAGCGAGTGCACGAACAATTGATTGGGCCCAAATCACCCCACCTCGGAAGAATTAATTTGGGCCTGGGATCTATTGATCTGGGTGGCCATTAATTGGAGGGAGGCAATTATTAAACAGGGGCCGGTTATTGTGTGGGAGGAGGAAATTCTCTTTGGGATTTATTATAATTGAGACGGGCTTGGAATTTTGGGCGGGGGGCGGAAGGCAATTATTGAAGGCGAAATTCTCCAGAAGAAAAGAGAAGGCAGCAGGGAGTTTGGGGAACGAAATACAAGTGGAAGAGAGGGATCTCTGGGAAACGGACGCGAATTTCTTGGTGAGAAAAAAAGGAAGCGGCGCAGCAAGGCAGCAGCACAGCAAAAGGCGACCAGTCGATTTTCAATCGGCGAATCAGTTTTCCAGGCTACCTGAGCTGAGTTCAACGAGAGCGATTAGTTGGTTGGATTTTCTAAACCTCATCAGTTGTTTCTTGTTGATTTAGAACATGATGAACAAAACCCTATCGATTTATCTTAATTTCATCATGAACTAAACCCCAATTTCTGGGGGAAACACCATAGGATGTAGCTATTTCTTGATTTGATGGATTGATTCATGATTCTTTTCTTCCATTCTCTATTGCATGAAATTACTTAATGCTTTGTGTTGACTGGCCACCAATACAACGAATCGTAGTTGATTAGGTTATTAGCGACAGTGAAACCCTATTAACCGAACATATTTCATGTGACATAGTAACTTATCGAAGCGACAGTGGATTAAATAAGGTGCTATGCGGTCTTAAATAGGATATCGATCTTCAAACTATATAGTTAATTCATTGAGCTACGACAGTAGGATTTGATTTAATTGTTTAGTACGTAGTAATGCCCGACAGGGATAGCTAGCACATTCGTGATATCCTGGCTGTAGAGGTATGTAAATTGATTGAAATATGTGAATTAATCTGGATAGGATAGGTAGTGAGTCCCGGTGTTTCTCTCAGAGCTTTCTCCCATTGATTTAAACCCGACACTTTAATTTGCTTGTTTTGTTTAATTATTTTGCTAGTAGTTAATAATCTCATTAAACCATTACCACATATAGTTTACTCCATAGAATTGATAAATTATAAGGTTGTACCAGTCCCTGAGAGACGATACCCGGACTTTCCGGTTTACTACGAGATAGGATTAAGGCATACGCTTTTGCCCTATCAGACGGCACAAAACTCTACATACCAAATGAAATTGTTTGAACCATGAACATAAATAACGACATCCCGCTTTCACCAAATCAGACAGATTGGAGTTGTGAGTTGCCAAATCCAAAAGCGAAAAAGAAGAAGTTTCAGTTAACTATTTTACATTAGGAAGCTTTTCCACTATCTCTTTCACTTTGCTTACTAACTGGCCGAGTTCAGGGTGGCTGGGTTTAAAAAGAGACAGCAAATCATCCACCAGCCTCTCCAGCACAGTCGCACCTTCCCTTTCCTTCCTCTGTAACCACTCCTCAATCAGCTGCACAATCACACTAGTTCCTTTCCCTAACACTGCCTTCTCCTTCTTCTTCGCCGCATTCGTCTTATCCCATGCATTCACTTCAGTTACATTTGCACCCTCTAGAACAATAAAAGCCGTCACAAGCTCCCACGATACGATATTCCACACAGTCTCCAACAAACAATTCAAAGCCTGAGCGAATGTCAGATAATCCTGTTCGAAGAGCAAATCAGAAACCAACTTAGCAGCATTCTTCAAATCAGATTCAGTAGGGCATTTCTACTCAAACAGTGTAAGCAAACCAGTTCTGCAACTTTCAATCCCTAGAGCTTCAACATTCAGCTTCGCCCTGCTTAAACTACTAGCCCCAACATTCCTTAGCGCGAACACAGGTCCCAGCTTTGACGCCACCGCCTTCCTCTCTTTCATCTCTCCACCGTGCACGGGTTTCACGGCGGAATTCAGTCTGACCCTCGTCATCGAATGTACTGACTTCACAAACTGCCTCAATTCTCCATGAACTTCAGGAATATCCGAAATTGCCTCAATAGGAATCTTTCCCACCATCTTTGATCCACTGAGCAAAACCTTCATAGCACTAGCGACACCTATCTCATCCTCGTCCACGAGTCCATCTCCAGCATCCGTGGAATTGAACGCCGTGTCGTTTCCTTTCAGCGCCTCGCACGACAATGCAGCCACAGCATCCATTGTAGTCGCCAGAAGAGCTGCTTCGTGGTCGATAAGCGCGGAAACGCCGCACAGATCGGCACAGGAGTTCTCGACGAACAATCCTTCCTCTTCTGTCACTTCAACTTCGAGACTCACAGCGCGGCCGGAATCCAAATTTAGGGCATCGACAATCTGATTAGGGAGGACGGGGCGGATATTCAAAGGACTGGGATGGCGGAGGAGCTTGTTGGCCAGAACGACAAGTGAGGCGCGGGATTCGATCAGGGTTAGGGTTTTCGAGATGGGGATTCGGCATCTTTTCACAGATTGAGGTGGAGGGAATTGAGTAGCTAGCCTACCTAGAGCCAACGAGTCGATGCGGAGGTGTGCTTGGCCGGTGGCGATGGCGTGTACGGAGGAGGAGGCAAGCGATGAGTCCTTGCCTCCGAAGGTTATGACCTGGACTTCGCCGCGGACGTCCGCCATTGATGAGTGTAAGAGATTAACGGGTCGTTTGCTTGTTGAATTTGGGTCATGGATTTGGTAGAACAAATCTCAAGCTTGATGGATTTAACATAAGTCCATTGTTTGTTGAAGAGTGCTAAATCCGTGGGGTCCACGGATTTGGTCTTTATTTTGAAACCAAATCCGTGGACCCCACGGACTTGTAAATCTCACATATTGATTTTGGATTTGCAAATCCTTGATTGTTAGTTATTTATTTAACAAATCCATCATCAAATCTATCATGCAAACATTAGACTCTTCAAATCCATAATCCAATAAATCCAACATAAATCCCAAGTTTTTTTTTGCCAAAACCCTCATTTTTCAAATCCAACAAGCAAACGACCTCTAAAACGCAAGACCTAATGGCTAATTGAGTAACAGCTTCGATAACTCCAATCGTTTTATACTTTTACCATTCCCGAAACTGCTCTTCATTTTTAATCCCGAAAAAATCCAAAACTACCACACTTTAAAACAAATTACAAATCTACCACCCAAATCGAAAAAATTCCAAATCTACCACTACTTTTTTAAAATCGCCTCCTTGAGTCGCGATTTGGAGACGAACCGCTTGGTCAGACTGCAGTTTCAATAAGAACCGCTTGGTCAGGCGGCGTTTTCTATTTTTGGTAAAAACCGCTCTTTCGTCCAACGGTTTATGGGGTAAAAACGCCCCTTCAAGAGGCGGTTTGGGTCGACAACAGAAACCGCTTCTTGAGCAAGCGGTTTTATGTGTCGATACACAAACCGCACCCTCCACTAGCGGTTTGTGCGCAAACCGCCCCCTCCCTCAGCAGTTTGTGTGTAGTCCCGACATCCGACAACTGCATGCACGCAGAGGGACGTGAGGCTGCATGACAGAGCAAAACTGTCCCCTCCCCCAGCGGTTTTAGTGAAAATTCTGCATATAAAAGGCAGCTCCGAGAACATCAACTCCTCACCCCTCTCCCTATTCTCCATCAAATTTCTATTGTACACCTTACTTTTTTGAGTTATTGCGATTAACGTTACTTCGTAAGTTTGTTTTTTTATTACTTGTTATTATGATTTGTGATTTTGATGGTATTAATTTAGTTACAATTTTATTGCATATGGCATTTCAAAAGTTCATGCTTGGGTTAGAGTGGAATGGTTATAGTGAAGAAACCAGAAAGGGGGTGCGTTACGTCAGTGGCAATTTTCATAAAGTGAAAGTTGCTACGAGACCGAACCTTGAAGAGCTCCGTCAAATGTTTACTGAGATTACTTGCATGGATGACACGAGAAGAGTTATCGTATGGTGTATGGATATCCAAACAGACATGACGAGACATTGTGGTATGAGGAATTTCTCATAACCACTCAGGAGGACGTAGATGTCATGCTCGATTTTTTGATCGTCAATAACATTAAACAAGCAGAGATGTTCGTTTACAACGATCCGGTCGAGAGCGGTGGAGGTCATTCTGGAGATGGCCAAACATTTGGTATGCACGGTGGAGGCCGCAACCAACATACAAATATTTCCAAGGTTTTTGGGTGGGGAGGGGATGGATAGAGAGAGGGAAGAATGGGTTTTTGGTGTGAAGAAATGAGGAGGAGGTGGGTTTTATAGTTGAAGAACAACATGGTCTAGGGGGCGGTTTCGTAATTTTGCACCAACGAAAACCGCGCACCAAGCACAAGGGTTTGCTTTCCCCACGCACTAAACCCCCCCCCCCCCCCCGACGTGCGGTTTTCAGTGGGAGACGCGGACCGCTGACTTGGCAGGCGGAGTGGTCGTTGGATCGCCTCCTTATCCAACGGTTACCATGAAGTGCCGCCTTGGGGAGCAGTTTTGCTCTACCCCAACAAGAAATGACGTTTCCCCATGCGTTTTGTGGTCAAACCGCCTGTCCCCCAAGCGGTTCTTGACCTAACCGCCGCTTCCCAATGCGGTTTAAAAATTTGGATGGTAGATTTGGAAATTTTTCGGTTTTGGTGGTAGATTTGTAATTTTTTTTTAATAGTGGTACTTTTGGATTTTTTTCCTTTTATTCCCGCAGGTGACTAGGTTCATGCTAGTGATGGCGATGGGGCGGGCGGGGCGGGTACCTCAATTGAGTGAATTCTCATGCCCGCCTCACGCTACTGCGAGGCGGGGTGGGTATACCCATTCTTAAATGTTAGTTTAAAAAAATACACGCAAAGTTTACTTTTTACGATAAAACGAAGGGGACAATATTTTATAAATGAAAAATAGTGATAATAAAATGTGTAATTGAGACTAACAAGTTAAAAGATCGACTCTAACTAGTTGAAGAAATGTCAAAATAGGAGAAATATGGATGTATACAATAAATAATTGAGATAGAATGGGCCAAGAACGGGGCGGGGCAGGGCAGGTCGAAAATAGATACCAATGTCCCGCCCCACGCTACTATGGGTCGGGTAATACCCACCCCATCGCGGGTCAAGTCAAGTAATACCCGCGTGGTGGGTCCAAATTACCATCACTAGTTCTTGCAATTTGTAGGCTTGTAGCATGAGTTCGAAACTGCGGATCTTATGACTAAGGAGGTACCTCTTGGACTCAGACCTTATTTCTTTTTTTTTGTAGGAAGACAGACGCTTAAAACATCTTGATTATATATTAATTAAACGAGGTTGAGAGATTCCCATAACATCATAATCTAACCATATACACAAATCGTGATTGCTCACATCGACATGATGTGTATAAAAAAAGAGGCTATGGCCAAGATTGGCAAGGAAATCAGCTGCCTGATTACCCTCTCTATACACATGAGCAACAGAAACACTCCATTAACGATCCAAAAGGTTGTAGACATGTTGAGCCAACAACCCATGTATGTGATTATCATCAGAGCAATTTCTAATAATATTGATTGTAGTGGTAGAGTCCAGGTTCAGTTGAACTTGTTTGTACCCCTTCTCCCACACAATTTCCAGTCCAACAGCTGCTCGTTTGAGCTCTGCTGCATTAATTGAGCAGTTTCCCAAATTGTAGGCAAAAGCTGCGCAACACCGTCCCAAGCTGTCTCGAATGAGACATCCAGCAGCAGCAGATCCTGAGGGAGAGAGGACAGAGCCATCGGTTTGGATCTATACCCATCCCTCTGGTGGAGGTCTCCAGCCAATCTGGACCTCTCTTCTAGTAATAGGGAGTGAAAAACTCATTTCCACGTTTTGCAGAGCCTTTTTATAGATAATTGAACCAAACTTCAATTCTGCAGAAGAGAGACTTTTCCACATAAGTCTTGCCATCCATACACTCTTTGTTTCTCTGCTTCCAAAGGTGCCAAGCGATCAGTCCAAACTCAGTTCCATGCTTTCCATTCTCCAGGTTTCTAGACATCCACTCCTTGAAGACAACTTCCTTTCCTTGGTTGTAATCCGAGTTCTGAATTTATCCCAAATACCTGATGCCTTTCTGCAATTTCGAATGATGTGTTCCGTTGTTTCTTCAACATCGTTACAGGGACTACAATTACCATTAGTAGTAAGCTTCCTCTCCATGCGTTCCTTGTTGGTTAACAATCTATCGTGCATCACAAGCTAGAGGAAGTGCTTTGTTCGAATGTGCCCTTCCCATTTTCGGAGTTTCTTCCAGACTTCCTCTCCTGCTGAGTCCAGCTGATCAGCAACAAGTTTCTAAGCAGATTTGAGCCTAAATCGTCCATCCCTCTCCAACCCCCAGATTCATTTGAGCTTAAATCGTCCATCCCTCTCCAACCCCCAAATGCATTTATCTTCCCCCAAATTGCTCTTTGGGGGCTCCATTCCAGCAATCATAGAGAGGATGTCTGGAGGGAAGAGATGATGGAGCTTCTGCCAATCCCAGTCTTCATTATCATCAGTCCAATCCGCCACTGAGGAGTCTTCTTGCTGAGTGCTGGCATTGTGCAGAACATGGTCCACGAGGAAGATGCCATGATCCAGCCAGGGGTGGTGCCAAAAACTGGTGGTTTTGCCATTCCTGATGTTCTAGCTGGTGGCACTTTTCATAAGAGGCATGGCCTTTATGATCGCTTTCCACAAGCTTGAATGGTTGCTTCATTTCATCGCCACGATTTGTCCATCTTTCTGTTTGAAATATTTTCCTTGCAACACCTGCACCCACATGTTAGAGCTATTGTTAAGAATATGCCAAGCTAGTTTAATCATAAAGGCCATGTTCAAGCTCCTGGCAGATCTTAACCCTAAACCTCCTTGATTTCTCGATTTGCATACATTTTCCAGGATACCAAGTTTATCACATATGTTTTCCCTATCTCTATCTTTGGTATTCTTGGAAAACAGAATTCTGGACTTTTCTCTCCTCACAAGCTCTCCTGATGCATCACAAAATTGATCAACACATTGGTTGATGACTTCTACTTGCTTCAAGGATGCTTCAGCAAAGAGGACGAGATCGTCCGCGAAGAATAGGTGAGAAAGGGGAGGCCCTCCAGGGGAAAGTATCACCGGGATCCACCTATTTTCACTAAAAACCTCTAAAATACAGTGACCTAGTCTTTCAACTCAAAGAGTAAAGAGATGTGGGGAAATGGGGCATCCTTTTCATGATGATGTTGATCATTGATGACTCGGTATTTGCACATATTTTCCCCTTTGTTTCTTGATTGTTTGAGTTTGAATTATCGTGTCTTTGGCCTATTTTATGCTAGGTTGTGTTCCTTTGTCACATTTCAGGTCCTAGCACATAAAGTGAAGCATAGGCGCAAGTTTCAAGTTAATCAGAGATCAATTGACGATTCGGGAGAAGAAACTCGGGTATGACCTGAAGAATAATGGATTTCTACCTCACTTTATGGACAAAGAATCATGCAAGCTTGTCATGAAAAGAAAGAGGACGAGACTACGAGCGTCTGGGATCAAACGGCGACTGATTCGGAGTCCGGACGAGGGAGAAACGAAGCATTAAACAGAGGCTGAGCAAGCCACATGGGCACAACCCACACGGCCGTGTGACCTGGCCATGTGGCCGTGTGGAAATCACCGAGCCTTCACACGGGCAGCTGGGAAAGCCACACGGCCGTGTGGCCTGGCCGTGTGAGTCGGGAATTGCTGGTTAAAACCCGATTTTCAGCAAAAGGAAAGGGGCGGAGCTGGGTTTTGGATCCCAAACACCCAAGGGACGAACCAAAGAGAGAAAGGGCGATCTGAGGGCATTCTAAGAGTGGAATTGGAGGATTTCTTTGCCTTGGAAGCTCGAGGAACAAGCCCGGACTTGAAGACTGATCATCTGAAGATTCTTACTGCAGTCTCTCTCTTCTCTATGGAGTAACTTCCCTTCACTTAGGTTTTGAGGAACCCTAGCTATGTTTGTTTGATTGGATGGTTGTATGAGTACTCTAACTTGATAATCTTGAGTTCATATTCAATCTATGCATGTTTTCATGATTCAATTCTGCTTTAGTCGAGATTATTGATTCTGCTTTGATCAATAGAGCACCATAGATTGATAGTAGTGGATCGATTGCTTTAGTCGAGGGTTGATTCACTGCTTTGTATCGATTGAGAACCTCTTTCGATAGAGGGAGTCTAGTTCAGAACGCCTTGATCAGTTGTTCTAGAGAAGGATACGTCCCTCTAGGCAATTGACTCAAGAGGGCCTTGTTCCTTTAGCGAGACTCAAGGTCTAGTCAAGGATTCTCCGCATTGTGAATGAAAGAGAAACAAGTTAGAAATCATCAATCGTTAGTCTGGCTAGTGGCTAGGGGGAATCATACCTAAGTGAGTTCCCAACCTGTAATTAGATTAACTTTAACTGTAGTTTGCTAGAGTAGTTTTAGTTTTTTCATCTTAATCTGGTTTGCTAAATAATAAACTGAAGCTGAGTAATAGTAACTCTAGAGACCCGTGGATTCGATATTTATCACTTGAGCCACTATACTGCAGTCCCTTTCATTGGTTACACTTGGCCTTTGTTAGGAGTTGTGTCATAGCGAGTCAATCATGCTTTGAGGGATTCCTGCCAACATCATTGTTTCTTCCAAAAAATTTCAGTCCAGTTGATCATATGCTTTGGCCAAGTCCAGTTTGAGAAGCATCATCCCTTTCCTGCCATCGAGTGAACAGTTTCCTGCAATATAAGAATATTATCAGTTATGTGATGATTGAGTACAAAACTGGATTGATTTGGTTTCACCAGTTGGGGCATTAGATGCTTCAGCCTATTGGCAATGCATTTGGCCACCACTTTGTACCCCACGTTGTAGAGACTTATAGGCCTGAATTGGCTCATCGAACTGGGGGCTTCTACTTTTGGGATCAAAGCAAGCAAAGTCACATTAAGAAGCCGAATGCTATCAGGATCCCATAAGCATTTCTTAATGAAACAGTAGAAGTCTTGACCAACTAAATTCCAGCATCTTTGGAAAAAGAGTGCATGAAATCCATCTTTGTCGGGAGCCTTCAACCCATTCATATCATTGACAATGCTATGGATCTCTTTGAATGTTGGTTGGTTCTTCATTTGTTCCCATTTGTGGTTTTCAATAAGAGGGAACAACGCAGGGATTGTATGTTGGGAGTTCATGTTGCCTTTAGTGAACAGTTGGACATAATGCTCTCTTGCCATGATCATAAGCTTATCAGGATCCGCAATCCATTCCCCTTACTTGTTCTTAAGGCTGACAATATTTTTTCTCTTTCTTCTACAGAGCGTACTAGTGTGGAAGAACCTGGTGTTCTGATCACCATGAACGGTCCAGTTGGCTCTGGACTTTTGGAGCCATAGAATCTCCTCCTGCCAGAAAACATCTTACAGTTCCTCTCTAGTAGTTTTTTCCTTGGCCAGGGACGTTGAAGTGGGGTTCCTCTCGTTAAGACATTCAAGAGACTTTAAATTGTTGGCGAGGCTCCTTTTTTTTTAAATGTTGCCAAAAATGTCTTTAGTCTAGCCTGGAAGTTTGCAAGACAGATCCTGCAAAGCACATGGAAGAAGCTGGCCATTTTTCCAGGCAGAGGAAACAAAAGGAAAGAAATCATCATTAGTAAGCCAAGGAACAAGAAATTGAAAGTGTCTCACTAGTTTGGATGATGTCGGGATGCTTTTGTTACACAGCAGAATGGGTCTGTGATCTAATTTTATCTTGATCAAGTGGAAGACAGTAGTTTGAGGAAACTTCTGATTCCATGCCAGGTTGCAGAGCCCTTTGTCAAGTCTTTTTTTCATTCCTGAACCTCCCTTGAACCATGTGAACTTAAGACCATTGAATCCAAGGTCCATGAGTCCACAGTCTTTGATGAGGTTGACAAAAGCTTTAAGTATAGCAAAACTGAAACCGGCTCCTCCCTATTTTTCAGTAGGCCTAGTTATTGAGTTGAAATCTCCAAACAGCATCCAGGGCCCTGAGGTTCTACGGATGATTCCACAAAACGCCTCCCACAGTTCCCCTATGATGTGTTCATTATGGCTGGCGTAGATAGCAGTAAGAGCACATGAATCTCCTTTTGGTGTAGAGCATTCCAGGTGGATATATTGTTTATGGATTTCCGGGTTAGCAATCTGAATTTCACTCTTATTCCACAAAAGCCAGATTCCCCCATTGAATCCAGAGGAACCTGAGAGCTCATAGGAATCAAAGCCAAGCGATTTGATGATTTCAAGGGCATCCTTCCCACTAACCCTAGGTTAAACAATGCAAACAATGTTTGGTTTATGAATAGACTTATAAAACTCGAAAGTATAGCGAAACTTGAGGTGTTTTGAACCTCTGCAATTCCAAGAGAAGACTTTAATCATCAAAGAGATTGGAGAGAATTTTCATATCATCAACACAAGGTTGGAACATCAGGCAGTGTCGACAGCCATAGTTGTACCCTCCCCTTCTTCACTACAATCTGTTTTCAGATCAATGAACGCATTTTTCAGGTTTTCTAGCTTCCTCTCCCTGCTTGGGATCAAAGCTGATCCTTCGGGGCGGATGTTTCACATTTTTCTGGTGACTTGATGCTTTTTCTTTTTGGGCTTTTTGCTTGCTTGGTGAGCAGCTCATTCATCTTTGGCTGATGTCCAGGCTTGGCATCCTTGGAGCTCTCCTTGCCCATCCCAGTTTTTGGTTTGGAAGGGGTAGAATGCTACCGGCTGCCATTTGTTCTTCTGCCTTCAATGTGGAGCTTCTGTCCTTGTTCACCACTGCCGTAGCTATCTTAGTACTTATGCCTTCTTGCTTCTTTGCACCACTTTCTAGCTTGGCCTTGGTCTTAGGGGCCTCCTCTCCCTTATCATTTTCCAGTTTTGATTTCGTTTTTGGGTTCTCTGGTGTATTTTTCTGGTGAGGTTTCCTTATGATCCTTCATAGTACTTTCATTATTCTTCTTCCCTTCTTGGCTCTCTCTTTCCATTTTCTTTTCCATGTTCTTGTCCTTAGTTGAGTCTTCTTTCCTATTCTCCTTTTCCTTCTCATTTTCCATTTCCAACTTCTTTCCTGTGCCCAATTCTTCTTCATTGGACTCCTGCATTTCCTCTTCCCCTTCTTCTTACGGCTGGTAATCGGTCGGTTACCGGTTAACTAGTAATCGATTAACCGGTTATCGGTATACAAAATTATGGAATGTGGCTAGCAATTACCGATAGCGAATTTTAGTCGGTTAACCATTAACCGAATTCTCGGTTGCCGGTTACCCACTCGGTTAATCGAATACCGGTTATAGCCCAATATAATAAAATGGCTTTCGCCTCTTCTTCTTCTTCCTCCGCCCGCTCTCTGGCCTTTTCCCCCTCCCCCACTGCTTTGAGCCTTTGACCAGCACCGTGGCGCCAGTTTTCCCCCTCGAGAACTGCCTCGTCGTTCTCCCAAAATTGGGGCTTTGACTAGCGCCGGCGGCGCCCCTCTTCGGCGAGTGGTGGCGATAGGGAAAGCTTGGGGTCGATACTGATAAGGAGGAAACGCCGTCCTCGAGGCTGGCGATTTCAACGAGAGTAGGAGAGAAGCTAAGGCCGGAGGAGTCATCGACTGGTGAGGCAACATGCAAGCTCGATCTGATGTTGCTGGCCAAAGATGAGGCATGGAGAGACTTGGATCTAGTCGCTGACGGCATGGATTGAACTTTGCCATAGATGAATCGAGATTAGACGAAGGAGAGGCGACATCGGCTGTAGAGAGTTGGGGGAAGAGGAGTCGTGCCGGGAGGCAGGGGAAGAGAAAACTTTCTGAGAGTCACGGCGGGGAGAGGGGAGGCAGAGTCGGAGGAGGAAGGCGGCGACACGAAGAGCTCGGAGGTGGAGCGGCGTCGCCGCTTCGGACAGGGGAAGGTCGGAATCGAAACTCCGAACTCAGGGTCGAACAAGGGAAGGTCGAACGCGAGGAGAAGGGAGGCGGAGGATTGGTTTCGAGCGGCTAATGGGGTTTTTGGCTTAGGGGAAGACGAGAAGTGGACACCCGACTGGAGATTAGGGATTTAGGGTTTCTCCGCGTTTTGTGCCTCCCTCCCCTCCTGTATCGGTAGTTGGTTTACTGGAATATCGATGGTATATACCGGCAAGGGGTGTGGTATACTGAAGACTCCAAAGCTGTTGCCGACTATCGAGTTTACAGGTTAACGGTATAACCGATAACCGGTGGTTGCCAATTCGGTTATCGCTTAAACCATTAACCGAAAAATCGATTGTCACCCCTACTTCTTCTGTGTTCCTTTGCAGCACATTGAAACGTGACCCTGAGGTTCCTTTCATTTGTTGCTCATTCTCCCCTTTTACTTTCTTCCCTGATTGTTGCTGAACATTTGTCCTTGGTTTCCTCTGGTTCCTCGTGGCCAACATCCATGGCCCGAAGTCCTCCAAGATTTCAGCCTGATCTTTGTCTCAACAGCTTTAGTATTTGCTTTCATTCGTTCCTCTGGTGTCGACATCTCTGTTTGAGTCCCCTGTGGGCTAGCATCCTCGACACGACCATAATGTCCATATCCGAAACAAATAGTATGCAGCCCTCCGTATTCCACCCTTCCGACCCTTCTCTTGATTCTGTATTTGGAGACAAGTCTCTTCCTCAAATCAATTTTGACACAAATACGCGGATAGTTACCTCTTGAGCCGTTTGCCGTGTTATAATCAATTTTCTCCACTCTTCCCAGCTTATCCTCTATATCTGTGAGAATTTCTTCGTCGAAATATACAAGAGAGAGTCTTAGAAGTCTAACCCAAACTGATGCTCTATGAATAGAGTCAAAATCTGAATCAAAGTCGATTCTCCAAGGCTGTGAAGCTATATAGTGGTCTTCAATGGTCCATGGCTTCCCGTAGAGCGCTCTATCATGATCAAGCTGAGAGTCGAAGATCGCTTGGAAGTGATGGCCCGTTTCCATCGATTTTGAACACGAGCTTATGTGCTCTTTTATCCGAATGATGGGGCAGTCAGGCAGCATCCTCTCCTTCTGATTCATCTGACATCAGGTCGTCCCCTTCCGGGATACCATTCGACAAACCATTCCCCAGAAACGAGTCTTTATAGGAAGGTTTTGTTCCCCCTGATTCTGTTTCCATTGCCTTGAATTCTCTTTGCCCTTCCATAGGGTTTCCTTCCTCCCACAGGCTATTCTCCTCTGTGCTTCTTGCAGTGACGATTGCAAAGTCCATCTCTCCTTCCCCAGAGAAACCATCGCTTCCACTGGCTCTAGCACGCTTACTGGGTTGGCTAGGTGTTGTCGCCAGCGATCCATCAGGCGGTTTGAGGTAGTGGTCAGCCTCCTCCGAGGGAGGCTCGCTCCCAACGGTCATCAAACGGTCGAAAAAACTCAGAGAGCAGGAGAGAGGAGAGAGAAAAATCAGACTCTCTCTACACTCTTACAAACTTCACTAAGAAGGAAATTTTAATTAGTGACATGTGTAGGGGCTAAGATTAGGTGACTAAGTGGGGTCCCTTAGTCACACGACTAAGTGAATCTCCACCCTTGCATCTCATTAAAATCCAATGGCTCAGATTAATCTCATTTAATGGAGGACAAGATAGTAATTACATAAATTATTTAACAATTAAATTAAAATAAAAAGTGGGTTGACCTTATTGTCCCTCCCGCCTGTTTCCCGGGAACTGCCGCCGCCGCCTGGGAATTTTTCCATTGGCGTGTTCCCTCCCAGCAGTCCCTTTCCGGGAATTATTTGCCCTCTTAGGAGATTTTTGGTAACTAGGATGATGTTTGGTACCCACACAGAAGAGTGGATTTTCCGGTAATGAGAGATTTTATGACGACAACGTCTGTTTTGTTATGTTTGTCAGATGATTTTGTAATGTTTGTAAGTATGTTTTGTGATTATGTATCGATTCGGTTTGTATCGTTTATCATTCTAGTTTGTCATTTGTATCTATTATCTTTGTAATGTTTATATGACTATTTTGTATATATCGTAATTTGTAATGTTTGTTTGTCTAGTTTGTATACTTTATGTTGTGATTTGTATACTTTGTATTCATTGATTTGTAATACAAGTTTACCGATTTGTATTGTAAGTAGTGACATTTTGTACTGCTGGTATGCTTTGTAATGTTTGTCGGTCTAGTTTGTATTGTTTGTATTGTTTGTATGGTTCGTATGTTTCATATTGTGTGTATGTTTTGTCGCTCTAGTTTGTATTGTTCGTATGTTTGTATGGTTTGTACTGTTTGTAAATCCGGTTTGTATATTTCGTTATTTTCCATAAACCCAAACTCCCCTATCATTAATCAAAAAGTCATTCCCACTTTTTAACCATCAGATTGATGTGTCCAGATCTAAGGGTTGTGAGGGGTTTAGTCAAGTGACTAAGCACCCCCTAGTACTAGATCCTTCCTCATAGGTGTAGTTTGAGTATTATAAAAAATTACGAAATATACGAACCAGACCTACAAACAGTACAAACCATACAAACAATAAAAATCAGAGCAACAAACAAATTTACAAACAATACAAAACATATAAACTATACAAACTAGACCGAAAACAATAAAAACCATAAAAAATAAAAAAAACAACCCGGTTGACTTTGGAGGCTCCATCCCTTTATAGAGAGATTCCGTCCCTAAGTTAACCCGATTGTTTTTTGGACATACAAACATTACAAATATGGTGGACAAAATTAACAAACTAGACCGACAAACCATACAAAATGCAAAAAACACTCGGGTTGACTTTGGAGGCTATATCTCTATATAGAGAAGTTCGTCCAAAAGTCAATTATGTTGTTTTTAGACATAAAAACATTACAAACATGATGCACAAAAAATGACGAACATGGTGGACAAAAATAACAAAGTTTACAAACATTACAAAAGTAATTGATAAACATTATAAAAATAACAAAACTTACAAACATTACAAAACAAACCGACAAACATTACAAAACGTAATAATAGTAGTATAGTACAAAATGCCACTTCTTACAATACAAACCAGTAAACTTATATTACAAACCAAGAAATACATAAAAATATACAAACTAGACAGACAAACATTACAGAAATAAATACAAATTGGTCATATAAACATTACAAACACAATAGACAAAAATCACAAAAAAGAATAATAAGAAATACAAAGTGAATGGATATAATCATTACAAATCGAACTTACAAACATTACAAAATAGACCGACAAACATCACAAATTCAATACTGCCACTGAAAAATCCTCCTCTGCCATCCCCGATCGCGGGAAGTCAGAAAACTCTCTCTCTCGGGGTATATTGGAGGGAGAATTTCCCAGAAAATGGACATAGTTAGAAAACTGGACACAATGGACCGCCTAGTCGGAAATAAATGGACCGCCTAGTTGAATAACCAGGTTGAGACGGCGGCGGCTTCCCCGATCCCCAATCGCACAGGGAACTTCGGTTCTGGAAGACTGGAACAGAGCTGATTGAGAAATCATTTATGTTCTTGATTGTGGTACTCACTTTCCCTCTATTATGATACGGAGGAAGTAGAGAGAGAAATGTTAATTGACGCCCATTCGTCATTTTGGTTGGATTGTGAACCCATTCGATCGTCGAATGGGTCAGATTATGCATATTTTTTGATCGGATTGAGTGGAATTATGAACAATTTTGTTTACAAAAATTCACCTACATTATTCTAACTATAAAAGGTCGTTTTGTTGTGTTTATTAGAAGGGAGGACAAAGTTGAAGAAGTTACATATTTTTTCCATGTAAAAATGGATTGCAGAAGTTACTAAGTGCTATTAGATGGATTCATATCTTAGGTTTGCCTCAACTATAAGATAAAGAATTAAAAAAAAATACTCAAACATGTTACTCATTCATAGACTCACAGACTTGCCCGTTTGGTGGTTGGAATTACTTGTATTGATGACATCTATCTATACATAATATTATGGCAATTCAAAAGTAATTGTTTGCCACCTAAGCACTTGGAGAGTTCACAAATTGCCAAGGTGGATAATATTTTTACAAAAAGAAAAATAGTTATTGATATATTTATGGAGCTATCTCTCTCTTCATTTACTATTTCATTTCTCTTTTATCTTTTTTTGTATTATATCAATGTACACAACAATAAATAATGTATGAAAAGTGACATATATTACATTTGTTATCTCTAACTTTTTTAATATTTAATTTTCTTTTCCAATACTTCTTTTATGTTTTTGTTTTTACTTTTGCATTGTATTGATGTACGCAACAATAGACTAATGTCTTTGAGTCACACATATAACTTTTTTCTCAACCAAACAAATATCTTATTAAAGCTCACTAAGTAAACTTTTAACTCACTTTTAAAATAATTTACAAATATGTTACATTTTAATGAACAATTTATACAAACACACATACATAATAACATTTTATCGCGACAAAATAAAGATGGAAATTAAAGAGAGAAAACAAGAAACGTTTGAATAGAAACTTGACCAAGCAATAAAATCTATTTCTTAAACAAAAACCTTATTCATTCTAATTAAGTGAAGACATATGAATCATAGTTGCAATAATTTACAATGTATCCTAGGTTCAAATTACTAATATTTTGCATTTTTGCTCTAGATCGTGTTAATTGAGCAAACTCTAATGAAGTTTTACGTCATATGCTAAGAAATTTAATTTTCAAA